GGACTTTTGTCAAATTGTTCTAAATATTTGGAGTAATAAGACAAAACATCAGCTATTCGATTTTTAAGGATGACTGTGTCCAATTAAAGCATGGATGCAATTTAAGTACTTCTCATTACAGAATCGTGGATCATTTGGAGGTCGGTTCGAACCCATTTTTCTATGATTCAGTATGGATTCAAAATTAAATTGATGGAACTATATCGGAAATAAGGATACATCTACAAAAGAAAAACAGAATGGAAACTTTTGTCTCGATCATGAATAAACGTAGGTGAAAAAACACTGTCAAAATAGGAGCAATTTAGGTATCCTCACGTTAACCGTCTATCTATCCTCTATCAGGTCAGTTCGCTCTGATTACATGTTTTCCCTTTGTCCAATTGTTTGCCCCTTAAAATCTCTTTGTCCTGGTTCGTTCGCCCTATTCTTCTTAAAATATATTAATATTTAGGTATTCCGTTTTCATATATCAATGCAGTTATTTATTTGGTAAATATATTTAAAAAGAAATATAATGTTAAAGGGTCAGATAATTATGGTACAATTAAGTTATTTAGATTAATTTGAAAATAACAACATAAATACTCATTCTGTTCAAAATGGTTGGCAAATATATTTACGTTTTTAAGCATGACTGTTTATCGTAATTTTCAACACACTAACTTTAAATAAGCAATACAGTACATGTACATACTCTATTCAAAAATAAGAATCTGGGCCAACGGACACAGGGAAAAAGGGAATCGTGTTGAACGGACCCGGGGCGACTGTAAATCAGGGCTAAAGGACTCAGATTCAAAACCTTGTTTACATTTCAAACTATCACATTCGGTCAAGTTTATTGTATGCTAAATTTTGACTAAACATCATTAACATCAATTTTCACTTGTGCCAATGGTTTATGAATTCGATGATGTCTTATGGTTAACAAGAGACATTCAACAATATGATAGTATAAAGAATAATCACCTTATATTATGATTTCAGGTAAATTAATCAGGAGTAATGGTGGGTTTCAATAATGGAGAAGGAGCTAATAACCCTTTTGGAGAACATGAGTTTACCATACATTCATCAACTTAGGGCAGCAGTTCTTCCACTTGTATCACATGCAGAAATAGAAGACATCTGGTTCCATGCACTTGATGACCTGAAAAATTAAATTCAGACTCAACAGCAAATACCACTTTGTTTACGAACTACATCACATCATGCTGGGTTTAAAGCAACAGGTAGCTATGAAACCATTACCAAACCAAAGGATCAAGGACGACGAACCACCTTGAAGGATGGCACAGCAGCTTGAAGAAGATGATCTCAATACCACACTCATTCATATACAAGCTACAGAACTACCTTAAAGACAAATGGGCCGCTTACGAAGTGGCCATCATCCAGTACCATTTCGGGCGGTGGAATACGATCAACAAATAGAAAAAAATACACACAACTCAATCAACATCTACAGGAACTCAAACATCATCTTCATAATGGTGATGTTAGTGTGTTTCAGTATGCTAACATTGCCTCTTATTTGTAACACTTAGACTAAATTTGTTGCAATTATATGATGTGTTGTGATTTTTATGTTATGTATTATGTGCTTTATTGTTATATTTATGTGTAATGTGTGCTATATTGTTGTACCTTCTGCGTTGTGTGTGCTTTATAGTATCTGCTCTTCGTGTCATATGTGTGCTTTAATGAATTAAATTGTTTATTATGTGTGCTTTATTGTATTAAGCTATTAATTATGTGTGCCTAATTGTATCTCTTTTTATCATACATTTATGGCGAACTGAGAAGTGCTTGATATGTGCTATTTTATTACTTATATCATATTTTATGTTTTATGATACTTCAGTTGTACCTAATACATCTAATATGAGCAAAATATGAAATATGTAAATACTATTATTTTTGTTCATGTTCATTTCATATTTTATAAGTTACATTAATTAGTTATCTGTAATTACCTCCTACACACTATAAAACAAATTATTTACTATCAAAACAGTTCCCGATTGTCCCACATTTAAACTTTCCAATTGTCCCACAAAATTTCGTTACTTTTTTACCTGTTTTTTCAAAAAGTGGGACAATCGGGAAGACACCAAATAGCCATATGTGCGCGTGACAACTTGTATACCCCTGTTTCAAAGATTATTGTAAGAAATAGCCATATGTCAACCTTTATGCTTCTGTTTTGTAAATTTTGTATGAGAAGTAGCGTGTATCAATCTCCCTATTTCAAGATATTTGAAGATTTTAATAAAAAAAAATAGACGTGTGTCAACCTGCATACCCGTGTTTCAAAGATTTTTATAAGAAATAGGCATATGTCAACATATATATTTCTGTTTCAGAGATTTTTATAAGAAATAGTCGTATTTCCACCATATACTTCTAGTTTAATTAATTCAATAAGAAATAGCCGTGTATCAATTTCTAAACCTCTGATTCAATGGTTTTATAAGAAACCTGTGTATGCAATTACTTACTAATGTAGTACAATAGCCTAGAATTTACATTCATTTGGGTTTTTTCCGGTCCACATGATGCAACTATATATTTCATTTCTTAAAAATAAAAAAAAATCTGCGTTGAACACATTTTCTGGTACACAAAAACTGGTACCTGCCACCTTTAACCACTCATTGGAAATAAGTTATTTCCCTTTTTTTTAGTCAGATTGAATTCTGTAGTCATTTAGCATTAAAAATACATACAGTGCATATGGTTACATCATAAAAAAAAATCATACATAGACTTTTTAGACCAAATTCAAGGTTTTTGTCACTAGCCGTCAACCTGCTTTGAACACATTAAACTTTGTTTAAATTAATTGTGCTAGCAGTTAACAAATTATATTGTGTGAGTTTTCTGGTATAATGAATGCCTGCGAAAACACTTTAGTGTATTGTTTTATGTGTGGTATGAAACCACTTACAGCTGATCTCGGGAAGTACTTTTCCATTGTCCGAAGGCTTAAATAGTCTGAAATCATGTGACTACCACTTTTCTGCCGACTGCAGTGCCTAAAACGGCTTAGCTATGAATACATAAATTTTCTTGATATCACGTTGAAGATCCAGGATGCACTGAATTAAGTGTACATCAAATCCCAAACACTCTCCCCTCTTATCCTTATAACAAACTATGTAGGCTGCATGTTGAAATTTAAGAATTGTCACACTATTCCTGATGGGACAGACCTGTTTTTATATCTCTTTGGCCTTTCCTAAAGCATTAAGTATGTAATAGACCTATTAAAAGAGAGGAGTCATATAATCAAGATTTAAACTGTAAAGAAATATAAAAAATGTTCAAAACATGTGAAATTGATCATTATAACAGGTAATACCCCGTAAATTGGGTTATTTTGGTTGTAGTCTTATTTTGGTTTATTTGGTGCCTCCAATGAAAGTGCCAAAATTAAACACACGAAAATAAGGCAAACACTAAAAATTGAAACGCCAATATTGCGTACTTTGTCATGTTTCTAGTTTGAGAAATTCAATGATATTTTGTCAATAAACGGGTAAATAAAGGTAGATATGAAGGAGCTTGCGCACTACTGTTGTTCCAAAATTAAACATATCAATTGGACGAAGCACCAAAATAAAACACATGCCTTTCGAGAAAAAAACGCCAAAATGTCCCAATTTACGGTAAACAGTATAATCAGCTTTTCTAGTATAATGCTGGAAATTATATTACTTTTTTTTCTCTTTGCAATCACTTCTTCTTTGTATTTAATGATAATAAATCATTCTAAGGTGAACATAGTCATTGTAATAGTGTTCCATTGAATGTCATTGTCTGTAATAGGAAACAGAGTTATCTTTTTTGATATTTGATAATTCTTTATATCTATGAAAAAAATATTTACTTGCCAACAGGCTGTGAATAAAAGAAATATAACATCACACAAATGTAGAACCCCTAAAAAAACGTATTTTATCATATGTTAAAATCAAATTATGTTTAAGGTGGCAGAAACCATTTATTTTACAATAAATCTTTAGATATTCATTTCCCAAAAAATCATTCAATTAGCAAATAAAAATTATGGTTTTGGGTAACTGAGATACTAGTATGTACGTGATTTTGTGAATATAAACAAATAAACCTCTTGTTTCATTGGACAACGGAGAATACTTTGTTATTTGATGAGACATTTAAACAATCACATGACATAAAACATAATTGAAATTAAATTTTACTTGCTGGTCAGTTTAGGTTATTTTAATATTCAAATGTGCAAAGTCGCAAGATACAATGAAACAGATATTCAAAGCACATGAATGTTGTTTTTATTTTGATTCGACGCCTGTTAGACTATTTACACTCATTCCATCAAGTATTTACTACCTCAAAAAATAAAATTAACATAGAGACCTAATGGGTAATTTTCTTAGTTATAGACCAAAATATCTGAGTTCGTTTATTTCATATATCAACATACAATAATAATGATTTAAAAAAATAGATTTTTAAGAATTTATTTCTGCAAATATATAGAAGTCAAATGGACTATACACAAACTGGTACCTGCCATTTCAAAAAATAACATAAATCGGCGTGTTGGGATGATTTTTCGTCCTATCGTGGAAAATCTGACAATTGTTCCTTATGCCCTGGTATGAACGCCACTCAGACAAAACTTTTATGCAAGACATTTCCCAAAATTAGTCACGCGGCCATTTAAACCAACCGAAAAAATTAATTGAAATTAAAATATTCTTCTAATCTTATGTATTTCCAAAATTTTATGAATTACGAAATACCATAATGTAGTAAGAAAATTATTTGATAAACTTTTATGAGAAAATTTCATAATAATGTGTTAAAATATAATATTACATAATATTATGCAATTTCCTATTTGTCTCGACTACTGATTTTGAATTACACTTTTTATCACGTAATTAAAAAGAATTACGCAATATGACAAAGCCTGAGGTAACATTTGCGAAAACATGTAAATACTGCATTTGATTATTACTTGAATATAAATTATCGAGGGATAAGCATTTTAATTTTGTGAGTCATGATCATCTTGTAAACAATATTCAGTAAAGTTCTAGAATTGAAGGCATAGTAACACGATTGTACCAGTACTTTGTTAGATAGAGGTATGTTTACATGAATTGTTAGGTTCATTGTTATATTCAAAGGAAACGACTATTTATATGTAAAAAATAAATAAATTATCGTTTATAGGTTAAGTGTTTTTTCTTCGTCTTTCTAAACTGCTAACAATATAATATTGGCCAAGAATCAGTTTTCTAATGAAGCTTTTGCATTTGTCCTAATAACACTATCTGCAAATAGGAATCATTTTTGCTTTTCTTTGATTAGATGACACATCGATTGTTGTCAATATCAGGAAATAAATATAATTTACCATTTTTGAAAAGGGGTAATACAAATGCTTTAACTTTTAAGGAATATACAAGGTATATACAGTAAAATATGGGTTTTCGATATCGAAAGTGAAAGACATGTAAAGAAGTTTATTCTCGTTCGATATTCCAATGAATACTGTTTGCACCACGCGCTTTTCAATCACTAATCCTGCTTTTTTATGCTAGCACCACTACATCATATATTATTTCTTTTATCAAATATGACGAAAAATTAATATTGTGGAAGATTGAAAATACCGTTCATGACCAACTGCGATCACCACCGGTTTTAGGTAGACAAATAAGTGTTTGTACATTTCGATGTAGTGTTTTGAGGACTGTTGTTTGTCTGTCCGACATTTTCGCTTTGGTCGTGCTGTTATCTGTGTTTCTTCGGTTATGGTATGCTACTGCTTCCTTGTTATCGTCTTCTTTCTGTCAAACAAAGAACATATAACCAGCTTGTTCAGGTGAATTAATGAAATCACAATAGAACTTAAAACAAAAATATCGATGTGTACATGTATTTGTGTATGTGTGTGTGTGTTTTTAGCCTTGAATGTGAAATTTTCTTGTCCCTACGCTTTTTTGTCTTTGTTTGTCATGCATATATCCATCCGTGAGTCTAAAAATAAACTTTAAAATGAGAAATACTCCTCCTACATCGCTTGGTAGATTTGAGTGAAGTTCAAAGTTTTAAAGTGCACATATGAAGAATATACATCAACGGATTTATTTATGATTAACAAATTCAAAAAGTGTTAAATAGATAGCAATTCAAATTCACTATTATAAATCTGATTCTAATTTATCTCTTTTTAAACGCTTGTTTGTCACATTGATTTTATACATACCATTTTTATGGGTTTTTTCATGTTAACTAATACTAACAACTTATTGCAGTTATGAGATCTTTGCGCAATCAAAAAAACCAAACAAACAAACAAAAGCATGTCTTTTTTGGTAATATCCTTTTGGCGTGGCTCGTTACTTATACATACCGCCATTGTGTTATTGTGTTATAGTCATTTTTTGCTTATGTGCTTTGACTATATGCCATTTTGTTTTTCTCTGTTGACATATTTGTTTAGCTAGCTATAAAACCAGGTTTAATCCGATATTTTCTATATAAGGAAATGCCTGTACTAAGTCAGGAATATGACAGTTGTTTTCCATTCGTTTGATGTGTTTGAGCTTTTGATTTTGTCATTTGATAAAGGACTTTCCGTTTTGAATTTTGCTTGGAATCCGATATTTTTGTTATTTTATTTTTTATGCAAACATTGGAATGCAAAAATTTTTGCTTGTTTTTTTTTTTAACGTTTAAAGGATTTATTTTTTAATGTAATTTTAGGAAAAGACAATACTTCAAACCAACGCCAAAAAAAAAAAACAACAAAAAAAAAAACAACAAATCCACTCAAGTAAGTTGGTTTGAATGACATGAAACCAATTAAAAAACATGATAATTTCAACCACAATTTTCATTTTTAATAACTGTCTAAATATTCTAGCTTATGCCTAATTTAAATGTAAACATTTATTTTATAAGTTTTTTATATGACAATTTTCAAACAATGCATGACAGATTATATACTTAAATAGTTCTCTAGTTTTCTTAATGCCTTAAACGAGAATATTATGCGGCACATCTACCATAAAATTTTAATGCAAAATCATTGCCAAGAAAATTTGGGAAAAAATTGGTCCAAATACATATTTATTTCTCAGTTTCAATTATGCAAATTCATTTGGTAATAAATAGCAATATCAAAAATGCTTTGTTTTATCAGAGAAATATCACTCCTTATATTCCACCTAAAAGCATGGATCTCGCGTGTATTATATCCTGTGAACATTTTTCTGCATTTTTGAGATTTATGTTTCTGCAGCATAGTATTGACTTCATACAAATGGTTTTAACGTAGAACAACTAAAAAGCACTCTTTTTGCAGATGGTGGATTTTTTTGGCAACAGCATGAGTTGTTCTGATTGGCTGTTTGAGAAGCTGTTTAGCGAGAAGCGTGATTGCAGTGTTTTGATGACGTCAAAACTTTCTTAGTACTTAAGTATGTTATTTGGTTCAATGGTGATAATCAATTGAATCGCATACGACAATTTTGGTTTTCACTCATTTTAATCATTTTCACTGAAATTTCTGAGAAAATGCGATATTTATAAAGAATACGTCATTAATACTTTAAAATGCCTTTGAAAGGTGACGATTAAAGAGTTACTTCAAAAGTTTTTTTTTTATATTTCCTTACATAATTCTATTTTTTAGAAGACATTTGCATAAATACTAACAACTTCTAAAAACAAATGTCCGTCCTTTACCTTTTATCGTGATTGGACGGATATTGCACAGTACGAATATTTGACGATCGGGCAAAAAAAAAAAACACTACAGATGATGTGCTTTCGAATGGTATATGATTTAGCCGTATGTTAGGCGGGTGCATTAAAAAAAGAAGATTTTATGGTTAATGTCACTCGTCTCCTCGTCAATAAATTACACAAAAAGGTAAAAGAAGACATGGCGTACCAATCGAGGTTGTACCCGCAGTTACTAACACATAGTTTTAAGCCCGAACACCAATGATGAACTTTCCAACCTTGTTTTCTACAATATACGTTTATTTAGAAAAGAACTTCATATAATGTACTGGTAAATAAAATCAAATAAAACTTGCAGTATGGATTCCATTTGGAACATACAAAGTCATATGATAGAGGGAGACAGCTCTTGTCATTCATCAGTTCATGATATATTTCTTTTGACAGTTGTTTTAGCATTGTATGTCATACATGTCTTCATAACTAAAAAGATACAAAAAATCTTTTAACCAGTACGGTAATGTTCCGTACAGTCATACAGCTTGGGTGTTGAAGAAAAAAAGATGGAATTCATCTTCACCAGAATACTTACATACATGTTGTATAAGGTAATTACACCCCCACCCCCAATTTAAGTAATAATTTCGTTAAGGAGACGACCATTTTATATTTTTGTTGGGGAGGAGAAATTTTCAAAATGAATGGTTTTGCCTGGCAGTAACTGAAATAATAAAATGAACCCATATGCATGTCAGCATGAAAAAATGATATGTCCTCTAATCTACAGGACTATGCAGGATTTAGTTGTGAAAGAGGATGAACAGAAATTGTCCATCCAACTACTCCCTTCCTGGTGACCCAAAGGTTGTCTCGTAACATTAACGGTACCAATTTAAATGCACCATATACGCATTTCGACAATTATTGTCTCTTCAATGATGCTTGAGACTAAGATGATTAAAATTAAAATCTAATACAAATGTTGAAGAGCTTGACATTCAGGACGTAAACTGTAACCCAAACCAAAAAAGGAGGAGATTATTTCCTTAAATCAAAATCTTATAAATGCAAATTTCAATCAAACAAATTCCGTATTTCCATCCCAGTACTGTCCTTACCATTTCCGTCCTGTTTTTTTATTGTCTTGCTTGTCATCTTTTAAAACATTTTCCAAGTTTCTCTCTGACCATTGTAAAAACTTGTAAATATTACGATTTATATTTGAATTATTTTTCTACTCGCGAAAGTCGCGAAAATAAATCGCTCGCAAAAATTAGTTGGTTTACAGTAATTACTCACTAAAATATTATTTAACTTATATTCATATTCACAATTAGAAACTTCTACAGTTTCTACCATTTCATTGTAGATGTGTCGTGTCATCTAATGTCTAAAACACAATTTATTCAAATTTCAAAAATTATAAGTAAGTCCTTACATCACTAGGACTAATCCATAAATGAAATGCCTAAAAAGGAAATCATGCATTAATTAAAAACATTGCACTGACAATGAAACAAACACATTCTTGATTAAAACCTTTTATGAAAGTCTAATACAATTTGCATCATGCTATTTCAATTGTATTAGCATGTATTACCTATTTTAAACTGATTTTTGTATCAAATTCAAACAATAGAAAAATAATTAAAACTCAATAAATCTAAAATAAAAATTACTTTGAAATAAAATACAACAGATATCATTTTATACTTAATGACACATGCATATTAATACGTATAAAAACAATAATGTTGGTTGTTTAATAAACACTGTACATTTCACATTCATATAACTTAATGACTATCAAAGCAATTTACATTTAATAACTCATCTTCCACCCAGTTTAGTCATTAAAAATTATCAGACAAGTTTGTAGCTGCTTCTAATTTAACATTTTTGTCATTGCGCTATCAATTATCTCCAAGTGACATATCAATATTTGAATTAGATACAAATAAATGATACATACAAAATAAACAGCAAATTGAATGCTTGTGGAAAAGTGTAAAAAAAAATACAAAAAATTACAACAAGAATTGTCATCAAATCGGCATAAACTAAATTATTGGAATATACCACATATGCATGTATATCAGTATAAAGATACAACATTGAACCCTGTCTCATATCTCTACAATAAAGTAGGTCAAAGGAGTTAAAAGTACAAACCAAAGTATGAACCAGTAAACATGTCTTAGATAAGAGCTGCATAACGTGAACAGGAATAAATGAAACAGATTCTAGCAACACATATCTATATGAATTTATTAATTTATCGAACTTCCAACTTAATATTAAAATGTGTTTTAAAGATGAGTTTAAATATAAGATGGGTGCTAAATAACGTACAAATTTCAAAACAATGTAATTGACAACCTTCATAACA